GCTCCAGTCTCACTGAAGAAGGTGTTGAAGGAATCATCTCCTCCTCCCAAAGTCTTGTCACTGGGCATCTGTCCATCTGGCTGGATCCCATGTTCCAGGCAGTAAAGCTCCCAGCAGGCATTTCCAATCTGAACACCAGCCTGACCAACGTGGATGGAGATGCACTCACGCTGTGGAGATAATAGTGGGAAAAAACGCTAATGAATCCAGTTCAATTCAACGTCAATTTCACATTTTGTCACCGATTTTACTTTAAATATAACAAACAAATGACGAAACAAATGCAGGGGCATGCAGTTACTGCTCCTATCTGATAGGAACAGTCAGTGCAGCGGGAGGCACCTCCCTGCACCACAACCCTCAGGGGACAAATATTGCTTGACAACAGCAAACGCAAAGGCAGCAAGCTCGAATATTTTGTACAGCCATTCGTGTCCACCTGTCTTTTTTCATCCAACCCTCTTTCGCAACCATAAGCAAATATGCAAATTGATTTGCCTGAGCGCACACAATTTGTTAATCTGGTAAATTCCACTTGCTTCCTTGAAGATGCTAAATCTGCAGATGTTTGGAAACGAGGAAAGCAAAATAAAAAGTCAAATAAAATCCCTTTTATTCCACCCGATTGAAATCAACGTAAAGATAAACCATTAGAATCGATCAGTAATGATTAGCATTTAAATAAGAGTGTCACTTAAATGTTGTATTTTTATGGTCATGATATATATTTTGAATGTAATCTGCTGATTTTCTTAAACGACACAGGAGATATGAAATATTTATCACTGCATTCTATTCATTAAATATGACTCAAATCGCATTTCTCCATCCATCCACACCCAATTTGCCCCTCCCTGCCTTAAACATGATAGAGCATTTGCAATTAGCCGAATTGACTAAATATTCACAGATGATATTAGACAAAAATGCACAAAATCTAAAAAAAAAGGTTGTTGGTGTCAAATTAAAAAATATATATATATTGTCTTCACTGTATGCGTAAATCCGCCAGTCAGTGCATTGTTCTCCACACAATGACAATCACATTTGCCAACAACTGCTGCAAAAATCTCTGCATCAGCTATAAAATCACGAATTTCTCTGCTATTATTAATATAAAAATGCATTGCAAAATGAAATATGGGTATCTATTGTACCTATGTTTAAATATATCATGCAGGGATGAACAATTTCTCTAACGACGTCGCCTGACAACAGACACCTCCACAGAGATTTCGCCAAGAATTAAGCTGAAATTCAACCTGGTGTTTGAGAAGATTGCAAAAAATAGACTTACCATGTTTGAGGTTAAAAGAGTAGAAGAGGGAAAGTGGAAAGAAATAGGTTTTTGTAAAAACGGGGGTGTTTGCGTTGCGTGTTGTACCCAACGGGGTCGATGCAACAACTGCTGAATGGGAGGGCGGAGCTCCCAGATTTATACACGGTGCTGCCTGCTGTGGAAAAAAACACCACTGTACTACCGGCATTGGGTAAAACTGCCAAGATCCTTTTTTTTTTTACGTGAATATAACTAGAAAATCATCTTAAAGCCCTAGGCTGTCGGATAAACATGACCTAAAATGATGGGTCAATAGAAGCGCAATTCTGGGAATTTACAAGAGGCTGCAGGACGTTAAAATGTGTCCATGATCTGTTTTGATTAAACTCTTTCTCGTGTAGTTGTTGATATATATTCATGTGTATTTATTCGACGTGATGAATTTGAAGTAATTAAATCTAAATGACATATTTGTTTAATTATGCATTGAAGATGGTTGAGGTGTTTATAGATTTTGACCAGAGCACCGGAAACATTACAATGGAGACAGAGACCCTGAATACTTTGACTGCTCATGAAACGTCTATAAGGAGCTGATGCAGACCGGGCATCCATGTTGCAGAAGCCTGCCGTGGTGTACATTAAACCTGCCAGCTCCTTGACTTTCCTCCCTCTTTGTCCTAGATTCTCTGCAATGATGTCATTCAGTGGGCCGATCACGTGACTGCTCGTCTGCATGTGTACCTCTTCTGTTCGGCAGCGCAGAGGTTTGGCTCGCTTTTCCTGCACCTTTCCTATCTCAGGGACTGAAATGACCAGGAGTGCTGTTGATTTTCCTATTAAGGGGGAATCAGGGAAGTTATTTAGGTCAAAATACTATAAGGATTTCACGTTAATGGGCAATAAAGTCTCTGTTTACAAAATATTTTAATGTGTTGTTATGTCAAAAAACAAAAAATAATGCATTAATCATGGCGAAATGTATGCCATATCATAAGCCAGTCGTATTTCTTTTACTCAGTATAAAAAACATGGGAAGAGAGAACAGGAAACAGCAATGGTTGCCCTCTGGTAGTTATTTATTTATTTTTTTTTAGAGAGAAAATTCTCCATCCAATGCCCCTCCTTGTCTTCTTTTTCCTCCCCAACAGCTGTGAAGCAGGGAGGGTCTGAGCAGCTGCTCAGTATGAAGAGAGGGGAGGAGGATGGGGAATGTTCGATAAATAAGGAGTGGCCTCTCATAGCGTGAAATAGACCGCATTGCATCCTTCTGAGACTGAAAATAAAAGAAGATCAAGAAATGATCAGTATGAATATGTAAAAGAAGACCCAAATAACTACAAACACCTACATACGTCCTTGTTACGAGTGTTAAAAATGACAGATCCAAGATAGTTATACTTGCCTCAAGGATGCAAAATATTTGTTTGGCCTATGTGCCCCACTGTTAGAAGACACACTGATGCAGACGTTATATTAGATATCCTTTCCTGCCAATTTTTTTTTATATACAATGTGTTACACAATGATAAAATGGCCCCAGGGAAACAGGAAAATAAGTGCTTTTCTCAAGCCTCAGACTAAATATCTTTACCATTTTTAGTAGTTTCATTCTTGGAGGTATGTCACTGAGACAACTGTTGTCATAGCGTCCTTTGTTGTTAGCAACCAAGGTGATTAACTGCCAGCAGGTCAAGAACGTTACAGGCCTTTGTCTTTGAAAAATTGCATTGTTTAAAAAAGGTAATAACAGGGCTGGTCGCGAATGTAGAAAGTGTGCTGTTTTCTGTCAAAAACCTTGCACGAACAAGGACGTTCCCTTGGACACGCAGGGCAAGCAGCAGATTTTGGGAACATGGCAGATCACATCCCCCCACAAGTGCACCTACAGTACCACCCCTTAATGCTGCTATCTAAGCTGGGTCATGTGACAACTAGAGGCAGTCTGTGTGGATACCAGCCTGTATCCAGGCAACTCCTTTATTCATTTCCTAGCAACCGTTAAATCTTAGCAACAGAGGGCTTGGGGGGATGGTGTCTGCAGTTTTCTGTGGCTTATATCCCCTATGTCTAACAGGGTAGTTTGAAATCAGATAAAATTATCTCCAAACAATAATATTGAAATGTATGCACAACGTTATCCAGCTATAACTGGATATACCAAAACTGATGCAAAGTGATGTTGGTTTTCTGCAACACCACTGTCAAAAATTTGAAAATGATCTTTTAAACTGACTTTGATGTTTACACTATAGATGCCAGTGGAAATACTGTCTTGCATTACAATGTTAAAAGTAAAAAAGGTATGTTGTAACAAATTGTATCCAACATCAACTTGATAGTGAGTTTCTTGACTTGAGACTCACTGACATGTATCAGCTGACAACGAGCCATTTAATATATGCAATATATATGACCCTTACAACAATAAAAGATTTAATAAAAATCAGTGGGATTTACAAGCAACATACACAGTAATGTATGTTAATGAATGTTAAGCAATACATATACTTCCATATAGCTACATATACTACACTCCATCATAATTTCAGTCCCATTTTTCAAATATTCGTCATGATTAAATAAATGTTGCAGTCTCATATGTCACACTAGGCCTGTGCTCTCCTAGCATGAACAGAATTACGCTGCAATTTTCTCTCAGCCTCAAAAACACCATGCTTGCAGTACAATGACAGGAGGATTTCGGGTGGGGTTTGGAAGGCGGGCTTTGTAGCCAGCCTCAGCCTCGTCCAATAATAAGCCACGAAGCGTTTCGAAACGACAGACTGACAGAAGGACGACCAATAGCAACACAGGAGCCACCTTGGAGAGGGCTTCACATGTATATAAACCGCTGTCACGCTCGCGTGCGCCATTATCTCTTACATCGACCCTAACTGTCGAGCCGTAAGACGCCTTTGTCCAGGGGATTCTTCCATCCTTTATCACAACTTCAACAAAACAAAAATGGTAAGATATTTTCAAAAGCTCTGTTAAATGGCACATTTGAGGTCTAGCGTCCAGCGTTTGTGGCTGTGAACTTGGTATTATGGAACTAAGACAGATAACGTTAGTTTTTTATACAAGTGTATGAATTAAAACTTGAAACTTAAATAAGAGAAATGCTATATTCTCTGTGTAAATCGATATTGTAGTCTGAGATTTTATGTGCTGATAAGTTCTGGCCCGTTGTTGGGTGGGGACGTGGCGGGTAGATGGAACAAAAGGGGTTTTCTCTAGTGGACAATAAGTAATTTAAGTATTAGCCAGCCAACGACTGTGCAGTATTTTATTCTCTGATGACTAAGTAGTGACAGCTGTGGGCTGTGACCGAAATGAAAGGTGGGAAGAAGTGCTGTATAAGCAGGAAAATGCCGCACATCCAAAGAAATCCAATCCGTGGAGATGGATGAAATGCACTGTCAGGATGGCGGCGGTCATTATTAATGCATGCCTGTAATGGACACTCCCGACCTCTCCGTTGAGTTACTGATACAAGAGAACTTTATTAGTTTTTTTTAGTTTTATTAGTTTTTATCTTGATCTATAACGGTTTAATTAATAAAGAAATGAAACTTAAGATAACGTTTCATGGTTTGAAGTTACAAGATTAACATTTAATGCAGTAAAGAGCTTGTTGCATATCTTCAGCCAGGTTTTCTAGACTTTTTTTCACTTTTTAAATAAAGCAGGTACTATATAATGTATGTGTGTAAACCCATGCCTGCATCCAGTACAATTTGAGCGATTTTTTAATGTGATTATCCAAGGGCAGTGAATGTACAGAGCTTTTATTCAATTTCTTTATGTTTTTATCTCCACAGCGTGAGTGCATCTCCATCCACGTTGGTCAGGCTGGTGTTCAGATTGGAAATGCCTGCTGGGAGCTTTACTGCCTGGAACATGGGATCCAGCCGGATGGACAGATGCCCAGTGACAAAACCATTGGAGGAGGAGATGATTCCTTCAACACCTTCTTCAGTGAGACTGGAGC